CCAATATACTCAAATATATCCTAATACACCCATACATACCCCATACACACCCCAGGATGCCATTGGCCTTCTTGCCCACCAGGCCCCATTGCTGCTCATGTTCATCTGCTGTCCCCAACACCCCCAGCTCCTTCCCAGCCACTCGTCCCCAACCCTAAAGCCCTGCATGGGGTCACTGCAGGACCCAGCACTTGGCCTTGGTGAACCCCATCCCATTGCCCTCACCCCATGGATTCAGCCCAGCCAGGTCCCTCTGCAGAGCCTGTGTACCCAGAACAGATCAGCACTGCCCCCCAACTCGGTGTCATCTGCAAACTGAGGGAGCACTTGATCCCTCATCCAGATCAGTGATCGAGGTGTGAAACAGGACTGGCCCCCAAAAAACGATTGGAATGACTTCCGTGTCACGTCCTCCCCACAGGTGTTCTGCGTGGGTCTGTGGTGCCTGGATGAGTACTGGTACTACAGCGTTTTCACCCTCTCCATGTTGGTTGCATTCGAAGCTTCTCTGGTCCAGCAGCAAATGAGGAACATGTCAGAGATTCGAAAAATGGGCAACAAGCCCTACATGATCCAGGTAATCAGAACCAGAGAGGATCGTGCGGGAAATCTGTGATGTGTTTTAGCTGAATTGCTGTTTCTTTTTCCCATTCTTTTCCTCTGACCCGTGCAGGGCTGTTAAAAGTGATCGGTTTTGGTTATTTTTCCCCCTACAGGTTTACAGAAACCGCAAGTGGCGCCCCATTTCCAGCGACGAGATCATTCCAGGGGACATCGTTTCCATTGGTAATGACTTGCACGATGGTTGTAATTTAAAGCTTCCTTAAAATCTGCTGCTTTCTGGTGCTTTAAGTTGAATCAGGCGTAGAAATCTTCACGGTTTCGGTCAGGTGCTTTTGAGGACTTTGACTCATAGGCATCACAATTCAAAGGTCCAAGAGATTAACTCTTGGGCTGGATTTCTTTAAAGAAAGGTAAATACTTAAATAAATCAGCCTCAGAGTTTTCAGCTGAGGATTGTGAAGAGGAAGAGTCCTCTTCCTCCTGACAATATCATCCTAGAATGGAAAGGGGAAGGGCAGATCTCTCTCTGAACCCCCTTATCCTCAAACTACCCCAGGATGTGAGCCCTGACTGGCAATAAGGACGAAGTAACTTAACAGAGACCTAAAAATCTTCAAACCCTTTCAATTCTCGGCAATGCTGAGTGGGTTACGTGTGCAGGGGTAGATTTGACAGCTCATGGGAGATCTGAAGCTTTAGGAATCTCCTCTATCTGAGCTAAACTGAGCGAGAGCTGTGCCCTGTCGGATAAATACCCAAACAGCAGTCACTTCTTTGAGCTGCTTCTCAGTTCTAATGTCTTTTAATGTTTGACTGCAGGCCGATCTCCTCATGAAAACCTCGTGCCCTGTGACGTGCTGCTGCTACGTGGGAGGTGCATCGTGGATGAAGCCATGCTGACGGGAGAGTCTGTGCCCCAGATGAAGGTCTGTGACATCTCCTCTGCGCTGGCCCTTTGCTCCAACCTGGAAAAACAAAAGAGACCCAAGCCACTGCTGTGTTTTCCAGTGGGAATTCCTCTCTTTTTGTGAATGCTGACCCAGTAGCCTGGCCTGGGCTGTCAGTGATTGATGGTCCCTGGTAAATGAGAAACAGAAGTGTCTGTTTTGTCTGGCCATCTCTCCAGCTTTTGGGTCTGAACTCCGTCGGGTGGGCACGGCGTCACCCTCCTACACATTCCCCAGTCTGGATTCCTTTGGCTGAGGAGAGGTGGGAGGAGGAACAAGTGTTAAGCACATCAAAACCCCTGAATCTTCCTTCTCTTTTGTGCCAGCGGGTGACTTAATGATAAAGCAATGCTTGCAGAGCCTCCCTTGCTGACTTCAGTGCGCCAAGGGTGGACTAGTCCCCCGAAATCAGAATTTCCACAGATGCCAGGGTTTAAGCCCAGACCAATGGGGAGCTGAAGGGTGTGTTAGGATCTAGATTCAGCTTAGGCCAGGGTGAAGTGAAGCTGAGAGCATCTCATAGGATGAGAATAGAAAAGAATACTTCAAGTTTACTTGTTTACAGGAGTGATTTTTGAACCTTGTCCTGCAGGAGCCTGTGGAGGATCTCAGTCCAGAGCACATCTTGGACATGCAGACAGATTCCCGCTTGCACATCATATTTGGGGGAACAAAAGTGGTGCAGCACATCCCGCCCCAGAAAGCCAGCACAGGACTGAAACGTATGTACCTGCACAAACGCCCTCTGAGAGGATGGGCTGTCCTCTTGTGGCTTTATTTGAAGTGGCTGGATACAACTTTTGAGTCGGTCTCCTTGGCCCTGTTGCTAATGGTTTACTTAAAATACCACAGCAGTCTGATAATCAATTAAAGTTGATTATTTCCCCTTGTAAGCGAGAGGAGGGTGTAGCTTTGGGTGTTTTCTGGCTGTGTTAATCACAGAATGTCAGGAGTTGGAAGGGACCTGGAAAGCTCCCCCAGTGCAACCCCACTGCCAGAGCAGGATCACCAGAGCAGTCACACAGGAACACGGCCAGGGCTTTGGGTGTCTGCAGACAAGGAGACTCCACAACCTCTCCCCAGCCTGGGCCATGCTCCATAACCCTCACACTGACAAAGTTTGGCCTCATCTTCAGCTTGAGCCTCCTGTGCTCCAGCTTGGGACCATTGCCCCTTGTCCTGGCATTGGCCATCCCAGAGCAGAGCCTGGCTCCTTCCTCCTGACACTGCCCTTTCCCAATGGATCCCCAGCAATGAGGGCACCCCTCAGGCTCCTCTGCTCCAAGCTCAAGAGCCCCAGCTCCCTCATAAGGGAGATGCTCCACTCCCTCCATCACTTTGTGGCCCTGCTGGACTCTTTCAAGCAGTTCCTGTCCTTGACCTGAGGGCCCAGAACTGGACACAATATTCCAGATGCGGTCTCACCAGGGCAGAGCAGAGGAGAACCTCTGTGACCTACAACCACCCCTTCTCATCCACCCTTCTAGAGGCTAAGCCTCTAAAAGATGTACACTGAGCTTGCTGTCTGTTCCCATTCCAGCTGTGGATAACGGGTGCGTGGCGTATGCTCTGAGGACCGGCTTCAACACATCTCAGGTAAGACGTGAATGCGCCTTCCACCTCTGTCTTCACAATGCTGGTTGTGTTGTTCAGCACTTGGCTGTCAGGAAACCCTTGCAAAGTAGAGCAGGGAGGGGAATAGAAATCAGGGCATTAAAACTACTTGTTTGAAAAGGAAGAAACCAGGTTGGTTTCTGTGTGTCAAGTGGTCTGGTGGTCGATGGAGAAGCCTGGGAGTCAGGATTTAGGGTTCCTGGTGTGGCTGGCCACACTGTGTGTATGCTACAACCTCTGCTTATCCCTGTTTCTGTAATTTATAATTGTTGGGAAGGGGCATTTGAGAGCGTTTGTAGAGACTGGAGATGTGAACGTGAGTTTTTCCAATTGAAAATTGAAGACAGCTTCAAAGAAACCTTCAATTTAAGTGACTTAGGACCAGGTTTGGGTTTTTCTAACAGATTAATTGTAGAAATGGGAGTAAGTTTTCAGGCTCTGGCACCAAAACACCAGCGTGTACCTTAAAAACTGGGTTTCATACATACTTTTAACAAACTACTGCATGCCACAGAGGTAGCTTCTTGCACTGAAGGCTGTTCTTCTCAGGGGAAATTGCTTCGTACAATCCTCTTTGGGGTGAAGAGAGTGACAGCCAATAACTTAGAGACCTTCATTTTCATCCTGTTCCTGCTGGTCTTTGCCATTGCTGCTGCAGCATACGTCTGGATCGAAGGTGAGATTTCTTCTTGCCTCTTCCAGGTCTCTACACAGGACCTGTACCAAAGCTTGTGGGAAGGACAGTTGACGTAATTTCTGAAAGTTACAAATAGCTGGGTTGGGCTGCGCCAGTGTTTCAGTGTAGGGGCCCACACTGCATTCTGGATGCTTTTCTTGCCCTCCCACAGCCCTTCGTAGGTAGGTGAGCTTCTTTGTGGTACTCGTCTTAGTCCCGTGGGGCGCGCAGGCTGAGGATGAGGAGGTGGACAGCTCTCCTGTTTCATCCTGCAGGCACCAAGGATCCCAGCAGGAACCGGTACAAGCTCTTCCTGGAGTGCACTTTAATACTGACGTCGGTCGTTCCGCCTGAACTTCCCATCGAGCTCTCTCTGGCTGTCAACACCTCCCTCATCGCCTTGGCCAAGCTCTGTAAGTACCAAGCCTGAAGAGCAAAACAAAAACCAGCGTTGCCTTCTTACACCTGAAACCATGGGGATGTTGGTGAGGAAATGAGTGTGAAATCACTGCGGTGTCCTCAGTTTCCACGCAGGGATGGTATGGGTTTAAACCTCAAAGAAATTAGGAGGTGTGTGCTTTGAAGTGGGTCTTAAATCAAGTCTAGGAGGGAATACAGACTTGGAGAGGAGTGGCTGCCTGGAGGAGAAGGACCTGGGGGTGT